TCAGCATCAGACACAGTGAGCCACCCAGGGGCCAATTCAAGAAAAGAAAAGGGATCGTGGGCCTCATCAGGGTGTTCTAGGACACAACCAAAGGGCTCAATGTTTCACTCCAGGGCTATTCCCAACACCCCACTCTGCCCTACAGGAATGACTCTGCTTGGATTGGATGTGAGGCTGGGGGCTTTCACCTCTCTGAGCTAAAAAAGGATTAAAAACTAGCTGCCACAGAGGAGATTGTAATCCTTGCAATGGAATGACGAGTGTAAAACCGATGTTCTTCCATGTAAACTATCACTCAATTCACCAAAAAAAAAAAAAAAAAAAAAAAACCACATAGAGAGAGAGACAGAGAATATTTGGGCCCATTTAACTGAGATTAGAGTTTTGGGAGATGATGTTTATGTAATCTGAATAAAAATGTGATTCAAGCTGCAAAACCAACCAACCAAACAAAAACCAGTTGCCAATGAATCTATTCCAAATCCAGGTGTGTTAGCACTTCATAGAGCTTTCAGTTACTGCTCTTTTGGAAGTAGTTTTCCAGGCTTTCTTTCAAGGTGCCTCTGGGTGATCTTGAAAGTCCAACTTTTGGGTTAGCAGTCAAGTGCATTAACCATTTGCATCACACTAAACTAGGACTCTGCTAAAAGGATGGATAGTGTATAACAAGGTCCTTGTATAGTTCAGGGAAAGACATAAAGATGCCACAGGCTCTACTACTGGCCAGTGGAGAACCAAATTAACACATCTTCTATCATCATGGGGTGGCAGGGACACTTACTTGGCTGGTCCCTGTACAGCTCTCTGGAACTCTAAGGAGTATGCCAAGAGAACCAGAGAATACTAGAAAATACCACTTGGCATCAAGACTTTTGCAGATGCAAAGGCTAGAAGACTCGACACAAACCGTGGTGGTGCAAATGGATTTATTGACTCACTTGACTAAAATTTCAAGGAGAGTTCCAGCTTCAGGTATGGCTTACTCTAGGAGCTCCAACAATGTCTCTGGGCTCATTTCTCCATCTCCTGGTTCTACTTTCTGCTGCGCTTGCTATATTATCAAGTAAAATTACACTATGCTGGCAGAATGGCCACCAGTAATAGATCTGGGTGAATTTTTCATGGTTCCAGTTTCAGCAAGAAAGGGAAAATGTTTCTCTGTTGAAAGTTCCAGTCAAAATCCCAGGATTGCATCTCATTGACTCTGACTGGTTCTACACCAATCCCTGAACCAGTATCTGGGAGGATGTTATCAGCCAAGCAGGCTTTCATATTCTCCCCTAGAGTGGTAGGTAGATGGGGACAACTCAAACTTCATGGACTCTAAGTGAGAGATGTGTGGTTTCCAAGATGAAAATCAGTATGCTGTTATTACAAGAAGTGTGGGTTGTAGAAATATATATCTACTAAAGTGCTCAATTACTAGCCAAAAGGTTATCGGTTCAAACCCACCTTGAGACATTTTGGAAGAAACATGTGAAAGGTTACAGTTTTGAAAACCCTACAGAACACAGCTCTGTTCTGTACACATAGGGTCACTAAGAATCAGAAATGGCTAGATGGCAGCAGGTTTGGTTGGTTTTTGTTTTTTAAATGGAGATCTTGGGGCATTGTTGGTTTAGTGATGGAAATCTCGGCTTCCTTAAGGGAGACTCAGGATTAGTTACCAGTCAAACCTACCACTTGTCTGTCAGTGAGGGCTTGTGAGTTGCTATGACGATGAACAAATTTTACTGGAGCTTCCAGACTAAGACAAGCTAGGCAGAAAGGCCTGGTGATTGGCTTCTGAAAATCAGCCAATGCAAGTCCCATGGATCACTGCAGTCCCATCTGCAAGTGATGATGGGAATGGTGCAAGACCGTCAGCGTTTTGTTCATTGGTGCATGCAGCTGGCATAATTTAGCGGCCAACTTAATGGCAGGTAACAACAACAAAATGCTATACAGGTGTTTGGACTTCAGAGAGGTACTAGCAGCTGCAAGGAGAGCCTCCACCTCCTTCCACTCTGTCTAGTCTGATCTATCAATGCGCAGGACCACCCAGACCATTTCAGTCAGAATCTCTGGGGTAAATGCCAGCCACCAGGGTTTGGCAAAAGCTCCCCAGGTGAATCTAATGGGTAATCAGGGCTGAGAACCACTAGCCTGGGCCTGCAAGGACACATGTAATCAATTGACTTAAGGAATGGTCTAGAAAAGGGGAAACTCTGGCCTGCCTCCCTTTTGACCTCTGACCTACTCTGGTCCCTCCCCTTTTGCCCACTTTTCTGGTCTCGAAGACAATGGACCAATCAGGTCTTGGACTAAATGCCCATGCCCCTTACTCTACTCTAGGTCATGACACGGTGCACCTGGCTCTTCAAGGGCGCGGGAGGCCGTCAGCTGCAGCGAGACACACATGTGAAAGAACTGACACCATACAAAGGAAATGAAATAAACACCATTTTAATAATTAGTGGAGCAGGAATAAGTAGTGCATGTATGACACTCCATTTGTGAGTCTGGGGCCAAGGATCTAATTACAAATGCTCTGAAAAACAACACTCCTCTTAATAGGTTAATGGGGTCAAAAAGAAACAAACTAGCATGCGATGCTCCCAGGAGGAATTTCAGTCCTGTCTCATTTGACCAATGAGTGTGGAACTTCCTGGTGAGTGTGGGTGTTAGACACAGTCCCAGCTGTCTAGGAGCGTCGAGGCTGGCGAGAATCAGCGGGGATGTTGACAGGAAAGCGGAAAACTAGGACATAAACGTATTTTAAAGCTTGAACTACAGATAAATCTGGACACCCCAAATTCATTCTTAAGCTTTGTTACACACTTGTCTGACGCCCTTGCATACTTCACCCATGTATACATACATTTCCACACAGTTTTCACAGGATGTTCCTTCTTGGCAAAGTACACCAGGGACTGGGGCAAGGCCAGGGAGCCATTCACCATGGCTGCGGAAATTAAGGAGGCGCCAAAACACTCAGGAACCAGGACAAATCATCTTTTCATGCACTATTTAAAAACTCGTTTTTAAAAGATGAATGCACAAGGTCATGATGAACAAAATAATTGAAACAATGTCAGAATCCAGTATTGTACTGGTATAACCCTCCTCATCCACATGCCAAACCCAGCTTTAATAAAACTTCATTCTGAAAACGAAGTGACTGCCCTGAGGGCCATATTTGACCAATTTGATTACTTTCAAGATTACATGAAACCATGTATGTTGATCACTGAGTTAGTTTGTTGACGCCTCTTTAAATTTTGCGCCCGGGAAGAGTACCTCACTTGGCCTCACCCTAGTCCTACCTCCTACAGCAAAATCTCCTTCACAACAAAGATGCCTGATAAAATACATGATATCCAATTAAACATGAATTTCATAGGATGTATATAGTGGTTACGAGTTGGGCTGCTAATTGCAAGGTCAGCAGTTCGAAACTACCAGCTGTTCCGCAGGAAACAGATGAAGCTTTCTGCTCCTGTAGAGATTTACAACCTCGGAAACCCTGTACAGGGTCACTAGGAGTTGGAACCAACTCCATGGCACATTACCACTACCACCATTTATACCAAAAAGTCACTATCTGAAATTCAAATTTAGTAGGGGCATCTCATCTTTTTAGTTTACATCTGACAACCCTAATATACGGCAGTCTTGAGCCCCATGGCAACATACCCCACCCATGTGCACATACGTTTTTATACTATCAAACATTTTCACACTGTTTTCATAGCATGCTCCTTCCTCAGTGTTCCTTCACCCTCTGAATTTATAGTCATTTCACGTACTGAGCAGGGTCCTAACAACCTGCACCCTCCTCAGCTTCCATAACTTCTTTCAAGTCGAGTTGGAAACACAAATGGGATTCCCCAGCAATAGAGCGGGTCCCACCTTCTGGCCCTCACGAGCTTCCCAGAGCATATCCAGGCTCAGTCACATTCTTCTGTCTCTACTTGTTCCCACGTGGGGATGGGAATCTTATTTATCAGCAGGGACTCAGTGGGAAAACATTCCATAGCAGGAGACGTGGCCATGAACATGGCAATGGCAAACCAAATATGGCCAGGGCAATTTATACCCAGGGAGTGGAAGGCTCAGATAGAACAAGCTCAGAGCAGTGATGAGAGGACCAGTGAGATGTTCAGAGGGGCCTTGGGACCTGGACCAAGAAACAGAGGAAGGTTGGGGACTGGTGTTGTTATGGACTTGTGCTTACAATGAACAAAGAATTGAGACCAGGAGAGGGAAGAGAAACTGGAGGAGAGAAGAAGAGAAGTGGGCTTCTGCCAGGTGATATGGGACTACATGCTCCTAGGAGAGGGTAGATGTAAATCCAGGAATCTACTTTCTTCAGACATGGTCCAGGCCAGTGAGGCTTCGGGCTCCCTCTCATACCTGCCCAGTGATTTCAAGGTGTGGGTCTGCATCAGAAACAATCACCCCCACACTCATTCCCTTAGAATTTCTAGCAAGAGTCTAGGACTCTGCATTTAAAATATGAAGAGGTTTCAGAAATTTTGTGGAACATGGAATTAAAGGACAATGGAAGTCTCCTACCAAGTTTGAAGCCCCCGTGTACATCCCAGGAGGTTCTTATACACCAGGAGCCCAGCCTCAGATGGAAATTGTGTGCCCTGCCAGATAGAGCTAGAGATTCTGACTGGCTTCCGCTAAATCAGAGACTGCTCTCTCTGTGTGGAGACCCTCTCTTATACAGAGCGCTGCATTCACTTGCATTTAGGGCCAGGCCCCAGGGGCTGGTCCAGATCCTTCTGGAAAATATACCCAGTGGAAGTTAAGATGACTGGGGCAGGTAGGAAGACACGTGTTGGCACAGCTTCCTCTAAACAGCATGAAACCCTCCACATAGACTTCGTGTCAAAGTGTGCCTGCTGCCCAGGGAGACTAAGGATTCTGGGGTCGGCAATGTGAATCCAGTTGGTGTCCTACATCCTCACGGATCCCCAGGGAGCAGAGCAGAGCAGATCATAGTTCCGGTTCTAGATCTCACTCTCCTCTAGAATCTCCTCCATGGTGTTGGCCTGGGTGAAGTCTCCCTCGCTGCTCTCAGACAGGCTGCTGCCCCGGGGCCAGGCAGTGTGGCCTCGGTGGGACCGGGTGTCCAGCTCGCGCAGGCCCCGTTCAGTGACATGCAGGAACTGCTCACCACTACTGTGTGAGAGCTGCAATTTCTGCAGTGTCCCTGCGCCATCTCCCAATGACAGCTTCTTGGGCCACTTCCCCAGGAACCTGAAGTTCTTCCCCAGGAACCAGGTTCTGCAGCCTGAGTGGTGGACCAGCATGAAGCGGATCCAGTGTTTCCTCAGCTCGGCCTTCACCTGCCAGGTGAGATAGGTGGGGTTAGTGTCTTGGATAAACACTGGACCGCAAGGTTGGTTTGAACTGCAAGGTCGGCAGTTCAAATCCACCAGCTGCTCCAGGGTCGCTATGAGTCGGAACTGACACGATGGCACTAAACAACAACAATAATATCGTATTTGGAGTCTTATTGTAGCACTGAGGGATAAGCACTGGACTGCTAACCACAAGGTTGGTGGTGTTGAGTGCCGTTGAGTCGGTTCCGACTCATAGCGACCCTCTATAGGGTTTCCTAGGAGTGGCTGATAAACTTGAATCACCAACTATGTGATTCCGACCGATCTTGAGTGGTTCAAATTCACCAGTCACTTCTCAGAAATCCTATATGGGGTCGCTGTGTATCAGAACCAACTCAAGGGCAAACAACAACAACATCAAATTTAGGTTCCTGGGCAGCACAGATGATTTGAGCTATTAATTGAAAGATTGGCGGTTTGAATTCACCCAATAGGTCCACAGAAGAAAGGCCTGGTGCTCTGTTTCTGTAAAGATTACAGTTGAGAAAACCTCATGGAACTCAGTTCTACTCTGACACACATGGGATAGATCTAAATTAGAATCACGATGGCTTTGGTTTAATACCATAGCATAAATCGTGGTCTGTCTTACTGATAGGATTTTCAAGTTGTAGAAAGGGAAATAGATCTAAAGAGGTGAAAAAGATGAACATGATGATTTCAACTAGTACTGGTTGTGTGTTTAGATATATAGATGTCTCCATGGGGGATTTGTTTCAGGAATCCCACAGATGCCCAAATCCATGGATACGCAAGTCCTTTATGTAAAATGGCAAATGTAGTACTTGTATATAACCTACACACATCCTTCCATATACTTTAAATGATCTCTGGATTTCTTATCATACTAGCACAATGCAAATGCTATGGAAATAGCACCTTACAGTCCTATTAGACTTTGAAGGATTGCTTTAACCACTTACGTGCTTCCCTCTCATTGCCCCCCCTTCCATCCCCCCCCCCAAATTATTTTTGAGTTCCATTGATTGAACCTGTGGATGCAAAACCTATAGATACAGAGGGCCAACTGTACAGCATTTATCAGTTATTTTCAACTTCTGCTTCTCAGAGAGTTTTAAAAATTAACACAATTTGACTCAGAACAAAAGAAGAAACCGAAGATGTCATTAAAAAAAAAAAAAAATCAAACTCCCAACAACAACAAAATAAACCCTGGAGAATTCTACCAAACATTCAGAGAAGCATTGACATAAATTCTACTCAGATCATTCCAGAACACAGAAAAGAAAGGAATGCTTCTTAATTCATTCCATGAAGCCAGTATGCCCCTGATTCCAGGGCCAGACAAAGATAGCAAAAAAAAAACAAAATTATAGACCATACCCCTCATGAGTATAGATGCACAAATTCTCAACCAAGTTCTAGCCAACAGAATTCAATGGTCTATTTTAAAATAAATCACAATTAGGCGTTATTCACATCAGGGCAGAAGGGATGGTTCTGCATTAGAAAATCAATCAACAGAATTCACTACATAAATAAAACAAAGAAAAAGAAAATCACAGGATCATCTCAATTGATGCAGAAAAGGCATTTGATAAAAATCTATCAACAGCCACTCCTAGGAAACCCAATACACAGGGTCACAATGAGTTGGAACTGATTCAACAGAGCTTAACAACAACAACAATCCGATAAAAACTCTCAGTAAAATAGAAATATAAAGGAAATTCCTCAACATAGTTAAAAGCATATATACAAAACCAACGGCCAACATTATTTTCAATGGAGAGAGAGTGAAAGCATTCTCTTTGAAAACAGAAATGAGACATTCTCATCATCATTACTTTAATTCAGTATCGTATGGAAAGCTGTAGCCAGAGCAATTAGGCAAGAAAATGAAATAATGGCAGGGAAGAAGTAATATTGTTTCTGTCTGCAGATAACATGGTCCTAGACATAGAAAACCACAAGAAAATTACGGTTACTAATAGAAGTGTTCAGCAAAGTAGCAGGGTACAAGATCAACGTACAAGAATCGGTTAGATTCTTCTATATAATAAGGAGAACTCTTTTAAAAAGGAAATCAAGCAAACATACCATTTACAATAAATACCTAGGAATAAATCAAACCAGGGACATAAAAGATTGATACAAAGAATACTTCCTGCAAGAAACCAAATGAGGCCTACATAAATGGAAAACCACACCACACATGTGGATTGGAAGACGACTTAGCCTGGTGAAAATGCCAATATTACCTAATGCAATCCCAACAATATTCGTTAACAAAATGGAAAAACTCATTTCCAACTTTATATGGAAAGGAAAGAAGCTCCAAATAGCTAAAGCATTATTGAAGAAAATGAAAAAAAAAAAAAAAAAAAAGAGGCCTCACATTATTAATTCAGAATGTATTATACAGCTGGGGTAGTCAGAACAACCTGGTATTACTCCAACAACAGACACAGAAAACAATGGAACAGAATTGAGAACCCAGAAGTACATCCATTCAGTTATGGACACCTGATCTTGGACAAGGGTCGAAGTCCATTCGTTGAGGAAGAGATGCATCTTTAACAAATGATGCTGGCAAAACTGGACATTCATTAGCAGAGAAAAGAAACAGGATTTATACTTTACACCATGTACAAAAACTAACTCCAAATAGATTGAAGACCCAAATTCTAAACCTGAAACTATCAAGTTCCTGGAAGGTAACAAAGCTAGGGACAAAGCTAGGGGTCCTGATAAATAACATAAACACATGGTCACATATAACTATAAATGCACAGATGATAACAGAAGATAAACTACATAGCTAGGACCTTCTAAAAATTAAAACTGTATGCTCATTAAAAGACTTAACTAAAAAAGTAAAAAGAGAACCTACAAACTGAAAAAAAAGGACTGGCAGTGATGTATTCGACAAGGGTCTAACATATAGAAAACGTACACAACTAAAAAACAAACTGTTCCATTCAAAAATGGGCAAATGACATGAGTGGACACTTCACCAAACAGGACATTCAAGTGGCTACAATGAGATACCATCTCACCCATGCAAAAATGTCACAGATTGGGAGAACAAACAAGATGGCGGAGAGGGTGGAAGTGCACCGAGGAGCTCTGCCAGCAACAACACAGAATACTCAAACAAGCAGGCTCAGGGGATGGTCCCAGAACTTTGAACCACATATAAAGGAATATTTAGAAGGTTGGAAGACTTACAGCTTGGGGAATTTGTGGCAGAAGCAAGAAATCCA